TTAGCATTGTTCATGTTGTTCTTTGTTAAGCCTACACAATACACAAATAGCTACAGTGTCAGGAAAGAACAATGCACATGGGAATACTGAATGCATTAGCCTGTGCCTATACATTCCTATTATGTAACTTGGCCTATATTCAGACAGTCAAAGCTGTGCTTTATTGTGAAATTACTTACTCGAATCTATTAGTGGTTGTGATTGGCATTAAAGTCAGCAAAGAATAAATCTCAATTCTTTACTGTGATGGATTTTCTGGCAGCAAATGATCTTGGAAAGCCTTCCACCCTTGTGCTCGCTTGCCAATTTAAATCTCCCTCTCTCGGCGATGCAGCTTCCGCTTTCAGGACCATGAACAGCGCCGTCACTCTCCTCCTTTTTTTTTCCCTTTTTTTTTTTTTTTTTTTGCATCGAGAGCTTATACGGCAAGCTTGAGGCGGGGAGGTAAACTTTTGGCGATATCAGAGTGAGGGTTTATAGCGTGTGTATCCGAAACTGTTCGCGCGCCTTCAGCCCAATGTTCACCACAGTCCGTCGCAGCGATAAATAAGTGCGGCCACGACCGAAAGGGAGAGGCACCGAAGATAGGCTCCAGATATGAAATGAATATGCACAGAGACGATTCCGTCAAACAGATTTGTTGTTGTCTGCCGCCGGGCTGCTAAGGGATAAAATAATAACAACCGCGATAACAATAATAAGAATAAGAATAATAAAAAAAGAGAGGAAAGAATCGGGCGACCTGCAGAGCGAGAAGAGAGCCGTGCGGAAAGGACTGCTGTGCGGGGGGACGCAAAGGGACTGGATCTGCATGTGAGACCGCTGGTCTACTCACACCGGAGGCAAGAGATGCAGCCTGCGAGCAAGCTCCTGACTCTGATTCTCCTCATCTTCATGGGCACAGAACTCACCCAAGTAGGTTGATTTTTAATTTTTAACGCCATTTTTCCACCTCTTGTTTTTTTTTTTTCTTTTTTTTTTTTAAAAGGTCGAAGTAGCGGTTAATTGGCTCCAGATCCAGTAAGAGATTACCCGCTTTACCTCGCATGAAAGAGCCCGGTGAATTAGCCCTCTACAACCTACCCCAGCTTAAACAGATTAACGGGCGGGATTACACGATGTGAATACATTGTGGTTGACGGGGCGCGGACAGGTCCAGGAGAGCCCCCCGCTCAGTGCCTCTGACAAACGGGCCAGCTAGAGGGAGAGGACTGCACGGTCGGTCAGTTTCCTCATCATCAACTGGTCCGATTAATCAGCTGCAGCACCATCCTAGTACGATAGAAAAGGGTTGCCTGTAGCATTATGTGTGTGCGTGTGTGTGTGTGTGGTGGGGGGAGGCCATTGTTGAAGGATGCTCTTAAAAGAGGGGCTCCACAACCAAATGCAGAGTCTCATAGAAGGTGTTCTGAGCATGCTCCGTGACCACAGTGTGACTTGCTGGTGCCTTTGTGAAGGGAAGCGAACACTTGAGTCCAGCAATGTAAAGCCACTCAGCTCAGTAGTTTTTAAACACTGCCCATCACTAAAGTGCAGATGTGGGATTCTTTACTGGAACTATGAATTACTTCGTGGTGTGCTTAAACACCATTTGTAGAAATGCATAAAGCAGATACTGTTGCAGTAAATTGCTTGCTTTGTAAATGATCACAAACAACAGGCTTTGGTGGTTGGGGAGAGAGTGAGGAAGTGGGTTTATTTATTTCAGGGCCGTGCCATGGAGAATTTGAGCATTTAGTTGTCTTTGCGCGAGCACAAAGTGATACTTCATGGAATTCTCTGTTGTGTGAATTCAATTGCGGCTGCTAATTAGAGGCCACAGAAAACAAATAAAAGTGACAGAGTGACACTGAGGTAAATCAGTAAACATGTATCTGTGATATAATCCAAGCGACAGACTCAATACAATGTGTGACAAGTAGGTTGCTGCAAGCCCCGCTGGCCCTGGCAACAACGTGTTAGAACAATATTGGCGTTATACCACTTTGACAGAAATATGCCAGCAATTGCTTTCCACAATTTTATGAGAAATGTCAGCGAGCTGTGAGGCGAACTTTTTTTTTCTTTTTTAATTCAGAGAACATAGGCCTGGTTTTGACATTTAGCTGGTATTTGATTTGTAATTGGATCAAAGCTATAACCTTACACAGAGTTCGTACTGCTGTACATTTAGTCTTTTTTGTCTGTACTGAGGCAACAAGTTTGAAATATGGGGCCGGACATTACAGCTCAGCTGCAGAGTGCAACAGAAACGCTGACACTTTGGGGTCAGTTTGGACAGTTTGATGAAAGCCATCAAGTGGGAGGGGAGTGGAAAAACATGGCGATTCTCATGACATTCTCTTCAAGTCCCACGTGGCAATGCGCAGCCCCAAGTTACAGTGACAGTTTTTCCACGATGGACTGAGAAGTGTGTGTCATCTGTTCAAAGGTAAGTCCATATTAGCCTGTAGAAATACCTGTCAGCTCCCTTCCAGAAGCCCACAAAGACAAAATACACTGACAGGCCCTATTTCTACTCCTGCTTTGGAAACCTGCAGTGCATTTTTTGCTGTTGGACAGCCGGGCCTGTCCACATCGCCTCCCGGTTTGAAGGCCAAAATATATCCAGTGAGAGGTGGATCTAAACTCTAAAAGATAGAGAGTTTTTCACTGCCAGATTACTCATCAGAAGAAGAAAAAAGGAAAAAAAAACACCCAAGCAGCCCGCCCTCAACCTGTGATGCTGAACAATGACGCCCTCATAATGGCCACATTAACCACCTTGCTTCTCACGCAGCTTGAGACAGCGTAGGGCGGCCACAGCTCTTTTCTTTACATCTCTTCAAAGTAGCGGGGGGATGCTTGATTAGCGACGACCTCTCTCTTTTAAATCTGCCCACGTTCATTCACCTTCTATCCACTCTGCTGAAAGATTTGGCGACTGACTAGCCTTCACATAGAGCAGAATAGTAAGCAGCCAGAACGGCATCTGCTCCTCACCTAGTGGCTCAACCCCGAGCTGCAAACCCACATCCTGAAGGATAGATGAAGCAGTTAGAACAGTCAGTCCTCATCCAATGATCATCCTACAAAAAAAGACTATCAACACATGTCACGCACTCTTACAACCACTCTGACACAAAATAACGCAGCTATTCTTTCTCATTTAAGTGGAAAGCTGCCAATATGTCTGCCCCTTTAAACAAAAGGAAAAAAAGCTCCAACAAAAGAAACCGTGTGAAACCGTTAAGGATTTTTAATGTATGAAAAAGAAAGAAAGAAAAATCAATCAGATTTTATGTGAGAACGCAGAGATGGAGTTGAGCTGAATTGCAATATGCGTGGTGTGATTGGCAGCCGGGGTTGAAGCTATTTATTATTCAGTATGGCTGGCTGAGCGATGAAGCAAAGGGGAGAGAGAGAGAGTGAGAGCAGAAGAAGAGTAGGTGGAGGTACGGTGCATTTTGTAGTGCACTTGCAGGCTGGAAATGTGAATTTTTCTCTTCTCTGCTTTATTAAACTGGATACTGAATGTGACAGAGTGGTTATCCTACTGTAGGCATGCAATATAAACATCAGCTCACTACAAACTACAGCAGCCTGTGGTTGTGGGAGACAACCTTTTGTGCTAATGCTCAGCTTTTAAATGTTTTCCGGTAACTTCTGGGTCTCCAGTTTGGTAATTTTTGTTGTGGTTGGATGCGCTTTATTTCACCTGGTATAGCTACACATCTTGTATTGCAAAGTGACATTAATGAAGGCAAACCCATAAAACAAAAACCACATTCTTAAAAAAAATAAAAAGGATTGTATAATTTGAGCAACACCTCTCCATCAAATTTGTATTTGTGTAGGGTTATTGCATTAACTTAAACTAAAAAATAACTAAAACTGTGCAAATGCTTCCAGTCCATCCATCCACTTGAGGTCTTGTAGGCATGTGTAAAACACTGATTGGCTACTGAGGAGTTCTAATAAAAGATTTTGATTTGTCTGACTTTCTGGCAGGTCAACGTCTGATCGGTGAGTTTAAAAGAGCACTTGTGGCCTTCCTCTTGCTTCAGTGCCGATCATTTTATATTAAATAATTGGCCCTACTGATGTGGAATCCACACCGGTGAAGCCTGAAACCTGAATAAATCCATGCTTTACAAAGCTTTGCTGTTAGAGACCCCCTGCTGTGCTTTGCTGAACTGCACCGCAACACACAGGGTGAGGACCTGAGTGAAGCTGATCCCTGCAACACGTTGAAGCCGCCTCTTTTTGAGTTCTCACCTCAAAGGTCAGGGAGAAGTGTTGAGAGATTAAGAGCAGCCAGAGAGCGAAACAGACAGAGAGTAAGAGGAACACATAGGTGCAGCGAGCGCAGACTTTCCTCTCAGCTTTTCAGTTCACCAGTGAAATGCATTATGGAGCTGACAGAAATAGCCCAAACCTCTCTTTGCTATTCTGGGGGACCTCATGTATCATGCAGTACTACAATTTAGCCCATAGGCTGGAGCAGTGCCCCATAGATCTGCTGGTGTAGACTCAGGCTCTGGACGTTTCCTGGTATTATCTGAGCAGCTATAGCCAGCTGATAAAATAAAACACACCTGCTGAAAATGACAAAAATCAAACTGGCTTTGAAAACACGCCTAAAATATTTGAAGACCTAAAATAATCAATAGATGAGGAAAAAAATAAAAACACTAAGTATGGTTTTCTTTTTGTAGTAATCAACCGCTTTCCTGTAAACGTGTCTTTTTTCTTTCTTTCTTGCATTTCAAACATTTAGTATTATTGTTAATTTTGTTTTAATTATTATCATTTTTTCCAGCAATGCCAGAATCTGTTGCACGGTGGCGCCAGAGTTCCACGAATCAAAGGCTCATCCTTTGTTTTGGGCTGAAGCCTCCAGTATCCCATCAATAAAACATATTCCGAGCCCTGCCACATCACTGCCATTGCAGTGCGACACCCTACATTTATGTGTGTGTGTGTGTGTGTGTGTGTCACACACTCGACTACTGCTGCAGCGGTTGTTTTAGTTAACAATGGTTACCATGCAGGACGCGATGATGTTTGCGCCTGTGTCCAAGTGCCTTAAATTTAATCCTCCTTTTTTGATGGGTGGGCTGTGGAGAAAGAAATATCATTGCTTGCTGCTATAAATAATCCCGCAGCATCATTGTGGGCCGACCTCGGTCGCACTGCTCATTGCCATTCCCTCAGGGGACAAGTTAGTGTCGACCCAACTATGAGCGACTTCAGGCGCAATCCCAGATATTACCACGAACGGACCCAACCTGGCTGACATCATTGCGTCTGGTGATATAGATAGATCCGTAGTACCTCCTCCTTCCTCTTCACATCCATTTGGAGCCGCCTGTGTGTGTAGTCAGTGGCACTTAATCACAGAGCGCAGCAAGGCAGGAGGCGGACCGTCGGGCGTGAACGAAATAGTAACGGCGAACCGGAGAGGCGGCAGTGTGCGGGACAACGCGGGCAGAGGAGCTATCCAGAGGACGTCTCCAGCTGCTGCTCTCGGGTTTTAGCCCCCCTCCCCTTACTTTATCCGTGCACCGGATCGCGCCGTGCAGTTTTGGTCTCCGTCCCGACCCACCAAGTCTCGCTCTGCCGCCGGAGCTTCCGTGGAAATGTCCAAAAAAAGAACAGCCGAGCCGGAGTCCCGGGTGAAACACGAAGATGCTCTGGGCACCGCGACTCGCCTCTCTCGTTTCTCCCTGGAGTCTGTAGAATGAAGACGACTTAAATTGAAAAAGAAGAAGAAGAAAAAGTCAACAGCAGAGCGCAAAAGATGTCGGTGCCTTTGCTGAAGATCGGCGTCGTGCTGAGCACCATGGCGATGATTACCAACTGGATGTCGCAGACCCTCCCCTCTTTGGTGGGGCTCAACACCACCAGGCTCACGGCGGCGCAGGGAGGGTACCCAGACCGGAGCACAGGAGTGAGTTTCACTGTTTACTGCCAGTGGCTGGCTTAAAAAAAGGAACAAAAATTAAAATAAATCCTAATAACAATTAAGAAATAAATTTCCAATTAAAATCCAGTCCAGATATAGTCACAGAGCTACTCTCGTGGGTGCCTTTGGTTTATAATTTAGAGCAGAAATTCACGCGCCTGCAAGAGTAAGAAAAAAAAAAAAAGACTCGGAGAGAGCGTAATACATTCGTTCCTTCTTGCGTTTGATGTTGCTCCAGTTGCCCCTCTGCTACTGCTGATATGAGCATCCCGCACTAATGAAAAGTTATCATTTGGTAGTTGTGATGTGGATGCAAATGTGAAGAGACGCGGTGTTGCAAAATTAATGGCGTGGGGGAAAAAAAACATTTCAAAGGAGTCTTATATATTCGCTCCGTAACAGCAGGAGTCTTCATTCTTTCTTTATATCCTTCAGTGTGTGTGTGTGTGTGTGTGTGTGTGTGTGTGTGTGTCAATGAGAGTCAAAATGAAGCGTTTCCCTGTCAGGCTTCCTGGCACTCTCAGAGCTGTGTTTGTGCCAGGGTAATATTATAAGTGGATGATTTGCAGCGATATTTAGAGCAATGAACGCTGAAGGCTGTTCTGTGTAAATATTAAATTCACTAAACTCGGGGAACAGAGTTTAATCTTGAATGTTATATTTTTGTAATCATTTTTGTCTTAATGATTTATGGCTCTTTTTTTGCACATATCACACGTTTCGGGGTTTAGTTAACAATTAGTTGTTTTCTTACAGGGAGCTGTGTAACAGTGCTGATTACTACACTGAATACTACAAAGATGGGTGCTTGCTGGTGGTTCTCTTTGTCAGCGCATCCTTTGCTAGAAAACTGCAGCTGACTGACAGACTGACAGTGGCTGATTGCTCCGTTTTGGTTTTCACGTGAAGTCGCTCCTTCTCACTAATCAGCAGGTCTCTCCAGTGATCTTTTTTTTTTTTTTTTCTCGCTGATGCAGTGATGAATGGCTTTGTCAAAGTCACCCCCCTTCCCCCATCCTCACCGTCGTCCCGTCAGCAGGTTAATAACTAGTGTTATCTATCGGGGTGGGAGGAGGGACAGCGAAGAGGGGGGGCATGTTCTTGACGTCATACATTATACTCTGAGGTTTCACACCCTGAATGACGGGACAGGATTCTGCTGTCAACGATTGGCTGCTTTAAAACACACAGGTGATAGTGGGGAAAATGGGTGGAGCCTAAAGGTTTGTGGCGTCCTGATGGTGATAAATATAATAAAGCCATAAAAGAAAAATGTCATTTCATGGATAAACACGAGGAGGTTGTTGCGTGGCAATCCCCCCCCCCCCCCCCCCCCCAAAAAAAAAGAAACATTACCCTGTTGTCTTTTTATTGTTTCCCCTCCCCTTATCTACGCCTTTGTTTTCAGGTGTTGCCAGCAAACCCAGAGGAGTCGTGGCAGGTGTACAGTTCAGCCCAGGATAGCGAGGGAAGGTGTGTCTGCACTGTGGTGGCACCCCAGCAGTCCATGTGCTCACGAGATGCCCGTACCAAACAACTGAGGCAGCTGCTGGAGAAGGTAATTATCACCTAACTCCTTCCCAGCCATCAAAAGTCATACAATGTGACCCAGGGGACCCACTTTTACTTCCTCTGACCTTTTGTTACGCACAAAGACATGCATAGAAACACACACACACACACACACATATATATATGCTCATGTTTGTGGTCTTTTGCCTGCTGGACAAGAATAGAAGTCATGCTCTAATGAGCTCACGAAAAACCCAAGGCATCACAAGAGGCAGCTTATTTGTAAGTAGATGATATCTAATGATGCACTCAGCTGAGTGCCCATACACTGGGAGCTTCCCCCATTTTACAGAAGCACATTCATAAAAACCTGCAGGTTAAGTTGCTCATTCATATACTGTAAGCAGCCAGCACTACAGTTACAGCTACTGACAACAGCAGATACCGCCTAATGAATAAAAGATGAGCCATGTTTCTGGACCACATCGGATCTGGAGAAAACAAATGTCTGAACAGTATGAATCCTACACTTGCGCCATGTGTCTGAGGCCCCTGACTAGTTGGCCTGATGTCAGAGTTTGTGAATCACTGCGAGACGAACGCCAAGCCGAACGCAACATATTGTAAAGTCTGTTGCCTTTTCTCTGCGTCTCCTATTCTAATTACAATGCAGACTGAGATTTTTTCTTCAACCACTCTTGCTCATTCGTACAGGTCCAGAACATGACCCAGTCCATCCAGGTGCTGGACCAGCGCACCCAGAGGGACCTGCAGTATGTAGAGAAGATGGAAGTTCAGCTACGTGGTCTGGAGACCAAGTTTAGGCAGGTGGAGGAGAACCATAAGCAGAACATCGCCAAGCAATACAAGGTAAAAGATCCACTTCTCGAGCCATCGATCCAAGCGCCATTCCTTCATAGCTGCTTCTTTAGCTCACTTAGAAGCCAACCGCCTTACCCATTTCGTGTGTGAGTGTTTCCACTGTGGAGAGAACTCAGAATTGCCTAAATCACCATATTGCATCCCAAGAAATCTGCATGGATAATTAAAGAGGCAAAATAAATCGATACACAAAATGCCATAATTCATATTCTTGTTTCAACTCTTGGAGGAGATTTAAGAAGATATCTTACATGAATTACAGTCACTGTGAACGATGGGCACAAAGATCTCTGCACACTGGGACAAACCTCCTTGACAACATCTAGTATACACTAAACCCTCCAAGGAGATTTTCTTTAGGGTTTAGTGTCCACATGTTAATGAACCTTTTTTGCAAACAGGGTAGAGGAGTGTTTGATACAAGGTTTTACTAGAGCTTTAGGGATTTATCGTGTCTTTATGTCCTGTCTTCCTCCCCTCAACCCCCAACCGGTCTCAGCAGATGGCTGTCCCTCCCTGAGCCTGGATCTGTCGGAGGTTTCTTCCTGTTAAAAGGGAGTTTTTTCTTCCCACTGTTGCCATGTGCTTGCTCATAGAGGGTAGTCTGATTTTTGGTTTTCTCTGTATTATTGTAGAGTCTCTGCCTTACAACATAAAACGCCTTGAGGTGACTGTTATTGTGAATTGGCGCTATATAAATAAGATTGAATTGAACTATAATTGATGACTGTTGAGTGGGGAATCTCCATAATTTTAAAGTAATCATCAGTTTTGACATCTATTAAGCAACACATAAGTGATAACAGGTCTACATTTTTAAAAAAAGGTCACAAAAAAATTCAGTGCCACCTCTGATTATGGAGTATGGTTAACACCCAGCCCTGTTTGCAGTTCCTGAGACTAATTCAAGCGTGCCTGTGTTCCTACAGCTGTTCATACCATCACCACCTGCACTGCTGCAATCCTGTCAATCATGCATGCTCAGCAGTCCCGTGCTGCCAGCGCCTTTCAGTGCATGTGTGCAGTTTTGTTTTCTGTAACATGTCTTAAGTGCATATACTAAGTGTGTTTGTCTGTGTGTCTGTTAGATAGGTTAGCAAGCTCTAGCCCCTGTCAACAGTTTGTCATTTTCTTGCTTGCAGGGCTAACTTTAAGACATGTAAAGAGAGCCACAGGTGAAGAAGAGGCAGGTCAATTCCAGATTCCCCTGAACTGGGCCACAGTACTGAGAGCATTTGGGCGTCAAACAGTTAATTTACCTTTAGCACCATTAAGACTAAGAAACCCCACCCTTCTCCCAAACCAACCCACCACTGATCTCTTCCTGCATGTTACTGCTGTCAAAGTTTTCCATCTAAAAGCTTTTTTAAAACGTAAATACATAATTATTATTATTATTATTATTAATTGCTGTTTTTCATTTTATTTTCCTTTGGCTTTTGTCAATGCATATTTGGTTATTCAACAAATCTTTACGTAAAAACTATAGACGTACAATTCGAGACACTTTGTTGTGTGTGACATGTAAAAGCATGTAACCCTTAATACGATGTTGCATTTTAAACGATGATGACCAATAAAGAGCTTTCCCAATTGTTGTCGGTGTACCGAGGGCTTGCTTTTTATCGGCTGGTCACTTTCTGGGACGGAGCCACCTGCTCTGCTCGTCACAGCGGGTGGAGAGTATTTTCTGGGTTTGTCCGCTCAGACACACACCTGCACAAACAGAACACCGCAGCTCACGCGCACAGAACACAGGACACGGAACACGCAAAAGCAGGGGGCGGGGGTCGCGAGATGAGAGAAGAGGCAGGATAGAGTTAGAGTAGTCAGGTTCAGACAGGTGTTTTGGTTTATTTTCCCCTTCTTTTCTTTTCTTTTATGGACAGCGGGCTCTCCTTTTTGCCGCGCATGACACTCAACCGAGCTTATTCTAACCCTTTCAGGCCATAAAAGCGAAAATGGAGGAGCTTAGACCGTTGATACCAGTGTTGGAGGAGTACAAAGCCGATGCCAAATTGGTATTGCAGTTTAAGGAGGAGGTCCAGAATCTGACGTCAGTTCTAAGCGAACTTCAGGAGGAGATGGGGGCCTATGACTACGAGGAGCTCCACAACAGAGTGTCAAATCTTGAGGAGAGACTCCGAGCATGCATGCAAAAATTAGGTAGGCACAGACAGTTATTGGCTGTTGGCACACACTTTGCTTCAAACACATGCATGCACAAACAAGCCCACTGACATACATGAGTACATTGGATGGCTAGAAAGAGATCCTCAGGCATACTGACACAGTACAGAACACATGATAAGAAGATCACACGTGGCTATAACAATCTACCACTAAAATTCATAATTCAGCGGTATTAAAACAACAGTGTATCTTACGGTTCTAATCTGTACGTGCTGGTCTTTTTTAAAGGCTTTATCTTGGGTCTACACTTGAAAACTGAAAGTAATCCAATAAGGAAGTCCACAACATGACTATGCATGTTCTCTGCTTTTAGTACTGTCTATAAATCCTATTCACCCTTTCTGCAAAGAAACAACCCCTGAATGGGTTCTGGGTTCCTGAAATTTTGGATTCCTTCTTTTCAACACACCTACCTTTTAACTGTTTGTTTGGGACACTGCAATCTTTTTTAATTGGATGATCAAATCAAATAGGATGCTAAAAAAATACACAATTAGGCACAGCACCAACCTGCAACCTGCACGCACTCAGGGATGGTTGAGGATGACGAGAGCTACCGAGCTTCTTCATCTTTTAGTCTGCGATTTCTCATCACATCCTATCTTTTTGCTTTTAGCCCCTGTCTGAATCTTTTCACACCTCTGTCACATCCCACAGTGCTAATAGATGCACACCCACACTACACTGACTAAGATATATTACGAGAGCAGGAACACTTGCACGCGGCACATCGCGGGTATATTGTGTCCCTGTTTCAAATTATGCACAGTGGAAGATGACAGAAAGAAAGAAAAGCTTTTGGTTATACTGGCGAAGAAAAGAAAAGAAAAAAAGGCAGTCAACATGCTCTGAAGGGATTAAGAGTGAACAAACAGACTACAAAAACACACACCTAATCTCTCATCACCAGTTGTTTCTCGTGCCATTCTTTATCTCAGAATACACTGCTCTTTTTTTCCTAGCCACATCTGCTTCCACTACCCACCAGCCTGGAGTCTTTTCTGTATTTTCACTCCCAGTTCAATTAACATGCCACCCCTCACACATCTATGGTCAGGCTGCCAAAGATAGGAGAGTAGGGACCAGCGGGAGTGACTAAGTGTGTGTGTGTGTGCGTGCGCAAGATCAGATGAGATAAAGGTGAGGTCACCCAGCGAGAGACTGGCTCAGGCAGAACAGAGGGTGGCTATTCCTTTCATCTTCACACGATTGCAGACGCACTCATGCGTAGTGCAACCAAATACAGTCCGGTACACTTGCATTACTTAGATTAAGCTTGCGAAGGTCACTCGAAGCATTTGCATCTGAATAATAACATGGAGAGGAAAAAAAAATAGAGCAAAGTTTTTAACAGACAGGAGACTCTAATACAAGGTGGTATTGGGAAGGAGACAGAGAGAAAGAGTGATAAAGTGAAGGCGAGTGGGAAAAGTGAAAGAGAGTAACTAGGGTCCCCACAGAGCTGTCCTTCAAGCTGTTTTGTGCCGGAGAAAGTAACAGCCCAACGGCTGCCGGGACACAATGGCCATCGATCAAGAGGACATGCCAGCTTGCTGGGCAATAATCAAATAAATAAATCACCTTGTGTTGTGCCCCAGCACTGTGGAGGCACTGAGAGCTTCAGGCAAATCCAGTCTTTTCACACTGAAATGCTGATGAATGAAGCAGGAAGGTCACTCCGGCACATCAAGCCCTCTGCTACCTGCTCTGCTGCCACTGGTTTCCCTTTATATTCTGGCTGTAAAGAACTAAATTAGACTATTCCTGTCATTTTAAACAGCTCACCAAAATCACCTTCTCTCTTTCCCTTAATTAACCCTCCTCCTTTTCTTAACACTAATTCTTAAATGAAATATTTTTGTAATTTAGAGCGGTGGGGGCTTCTTTCCCTCTCCACACATTAAGACTAAGTGGATAGCTAATTAGTGGTTAAAATTATTACGACCAGTGTAGCTAACTGACTATATATATAAAACAATGTTATTAGCCTATTACAGCTAGGTAGCCTAAATGAACTCATAGACTTGTGAAACAAGATAACTTCTTTATGACACCTGGAGGGAGATGTTATGTGTTATGATTTAGCCATACCTGCTAAACATGTGTACGAAAGAATTTCTTTACATACTATACCCATATAACATCCACCTGTGTCATACCAACCCTCGGCGTGTCCTCCTTCACTACATCCATCAGCCTGTTCTGAGGTCTTCCTTGTTTCCTCCTTGCATCAGTACATTTCTTCTTCATTTCTCAGACATCCTCTCATGCACTTATATTTATCTGGTTAAAAGGTCCACTGCCCTCTCTCCTAGACATCTCCACACCTTCATAGGTATGTCACTCTTCACATCGGGCCTCTTTTCCTCCTTACTAAACAATAACCATCTTTCCTCATCCATCCACTACTTTCTCTCTCAGCTCACTTTGCTCATTTGTGCATTTCCATTTCTATCCTTAATCACCCCAACATGCTGCACATCCTTTCCACTGCAGTCTCTCTACCTTGCCAAACCATATAAGTCATTTTCCTCTTCTTTAGTGTCCACCCTCATTTACATCTCCTCCCTGAATTCTGCACAACATTCTTCCTTCTTCATCATTATCTCTACCTTCAGTCATTTCCTCTTTCTCTTTCAGATTTATACCTTCTGTGTAAGATAGTCCATGTGTGTGTACCTTCCTCCATTCCTATGTGACCTGTGCGCCTCCCTCTTGTTGAAATACATGTTCACTGCAGCCTTTTTTGCAAAATCCACTACCATCTGTCTAAGACCATATCTACCCAAGATCTCCTTATCACTGTTCCCTTCACCTACATGCCCATTGAAGTCTACTCCTGTCACCCCTCTCTCTTCCCCCCGGGAACACCCTTTACTAGGGATGGGTACCGGTATCGGTTCTGACATAAACGGTAGTAACCAGACCGAAAAGCAGCGCACATTTCGGTGCTTTATTTCGGTGCTTTTTTTTCCCTGAAATGTCATACACTTTGGATTCTAGTCAATCATTTTACCTTTGCAAGCATAGTAGGCGGGCCCAGGTA